ATCATTGCGTATGAAGAACCTGCTGCGTTGCTATTAAATAAGAATAATGCTATGTGTACACCTTGTGGTGTACACAATGCATTACACCCCCTCGAGGGGGGCTCACAAATATTTTATTGTGTGTGGAGCCCCCCTCTATGTGAGGGGGGGTGTAATGCATTGGTGTACACATAGCACAACCCATTAAATAATTATACAAACAATTATAGCGAAACATTTCATCTTCTCTCTTCTACTCAATTCTGAAGGTTAAAAGGTATAATATGTGTGATAATATATAAGTCCACATCAATCATATTTGCACAAAATCGAAAAGTGAAAATAAGGGATTAAGAAATATATATACAAATTTAAGAAGGAAAATTGAATCTTGGTTGGTGGAGTCCACATCAACACTACTTCCATTATCATTTGCATAATCATCTCCATGAATTTGATCAAGCACCAACACCAACCACATAGCAAGCGCCATCGAATCTAGGCATGATTGGAAGGGAAAAAAGCCTTTCCCAACTGCGACATTGGCGGAAGAATCCACTTTGCTTCGGATCTCCACCACAACCTCCTTTTGTGGTGTTGAAAACGATGCAGCTCTGGTTCACAAATGATCATTCTATCTGGTACTCTTCACAGCGAGTATTGTACATCTCCACCATCACGCTCGACCGTCGAATTATTGATAATCTGCACACGCTAAATAGTGGCTTCTTACCCTCTATTATTTTGTCGATGAAGCCTTCCCGCATTTGAAATGGCTATATTCCTTTGTGCGCGCATGTTCAAGGGTTTGGGATTTGGGGGGTTTTTATAACGTATTGTTTTTAAATGGTTTAATTAGTGAATAGGGTATTAATCAAATTAATTAATTTTGATTTTTATTAGACCTAATTTACCCATTATAATTTAGGGATACTTACAAAAATACCCTTAAAATTAGGGATATTTTGAAAAATCATATGAAAAGTTTTTAGGAATTAAAAAATACTGTGTAAAATGAAAAAGTGATACAATGTCACTTTTTTTATTTTTTTTTAAAAATGTGACACAAATTCAAAAAAAGTGACAAGACTAAAAAAAAATGACATATACCAAAATAGCAACATTCATTTGTGCAGTACCAGTAATCATGTTCTTAAAATAATCACTACGTTCAGGCTAATTCACATGCTGATTATGTTAGGAAAATATAACATTATTTCATTTTTTTATCTTCTTAAAAAGTGACAAAAACTTAAAAGATGACAAAAAATTAAAAAAAAAGTGACAAAATTCAAAAAAATTGACAAATTCAAAAAAGTGGCACAAATTAAAAGAAGTTATACAAATTAAAAAAAGTGACAGACAATAAGAAAGTGACACATTCAAAAAGTGACAAAATTAAAAAAAAAATGACAAACTCAAAAAAGTGACACAAATTAAAAAAAAAAAGTGACAATCTTTTGATGAAATTCATGAGCTTCCTCTTTCTGTAACAATTGGAGTCGAATTTTTCCTTGCAATAACATTAGGCTGACTCTCAATATCCTCCTTTTCTTCATCAATTCCATCCTCAGGAATCAATCATTCGTCAGTTGCCTGAGGACTCATGCTGGCATTCAAGGTGGTCAGTTTTATTAAAAAATAATGTTTATCACTTAAAAAAATGACAGGAAAAAAAAATAAAAATGTAACACACTATTCTGACAAACATTTGGAATGCAAGAAATGACCCCATTAATCTGCATTTTTCCTTAAAAATTCTCATCACAGCTTCAAACTCACGTACCTTGCAAAAGCCTTCCACAACAGAAGTGTGTACAACCACTTTTCGAACAGTATCAGAAATTCTTTTGATTATGTAAAATATTACTTTCTGTAAAATATCAGAAATTCTTTTGATTATGTAAAATATTACTTTCTGATGGTTATTACTTGTTAGCGAGCGAGGAAAGAGAAGCAGAGTAACAAATCGAGCAAATGGAAAAATCAACATCTAGCAGTAATGGAAAAGCACAACAAATTGCTGCAAACTTATGCAGGTGAATTACTATATGAGTGGCTGGATGGTAATCAAGCCAAAGTAACCCAACACACAGGATAGGTATGCACTGTATTGGGCTATAAAATCCAATTGTCTCATGATAAGCACATGAATAAGCATAAATTTCCATAGTCCAATCAGTGGGAACAAGAATATAAATAAAAATTATAACATACCTAGTTCCTCAACCTCCCATCCCACACGCCCAACGTTAGGAGTGCCCATAGTCACTTCAGCTTGTTGTCTTTTTGCACGTAATTTTTTCTTAAGATTGCAAAACTCATCAATAAGCATGAAGAAGAATAAGCCCTGAAGGCCCGTTTGGAATGGGTTCCAGAGAGTAATTGGAACCGAAGAATAAGCTTCATTTTCTCAATAAGCATGAAGAAGAAAACAACCATGGATGCTACCAAATTTGTAGGTATTGGGAAATTTGAATTGGGTTTTGTGATTTTGATAGCTTAGAAAGTATTAATTACGTGATTAAGTTACTTGATTGGTTTACAGGGTATTATTCAAATTATTTATTTTTAGGAGGTAGTGGGACTAATTTTCCCTATAATTTATAAAGGGAAATTACAAAAAATCAGGTGTTTAAAGATTTTTTTTTAAAAATCAGGTGCAAATTTTATTTATTCAAAAATCAGGTAATATATTAAAACCCTAGCCCTAATCCCAAACAAAACCTAAATCACTTTTCTTCTATTCCCCCTCCTCTTCGATTCTCGTCTCTCTCTCTCCCCTCTTCTTTGCCGCCGTCGCCATTGAGGAGCGCCCACTACCGGAGAGTCGAACAGCTTCCAAAGGGAAAATGAACCCTGTAGCAATAAGTTGGCAATTTCCATGCTGTAAAACATCTATTCATCACTGAAACTTGTGAGAGTTAAAATTAGAGTTTCATTGACTGGTGCCTACTCTCGTGTAATAGCTGTATGTAGCGACTTGCTCGCCTGCCAGAGATTCTAATTCTAGTTATGTGGCTTGGGGACATTCTACTCTTGTTGGACCAGTGAGTATATAATTACATTAAATTTTGTGTTGAATATCTTGCTGCAATTTGTTGTCATGATTTTGAAATAACAAACCATCAGTTTTGAGCTTGTTTAATTTAATCCTTGTTGATATAAAAATTTACTCTGCTTTCTAGAATTTTATTATGAAAAATGGATACTGAATACCTAAAGGAATTGGCTATTTTCAGTTTGGAGACGTAATTGCAACGACAGAGCATGATGAGGCAATAGTTATTTCAGAGATAGATTATTCACTGATTGAATAGAGGTGCAGGTGGTGGCGGAGGTGGAGGCGTGGTCTGTGGGCGCGTTTCTGTTGGAGATGTTTGGCATTTGTGACCTATAAAATAGGTAATATGCAAGTGATTGGTGGTGGAGGTGGTTGTCAGTGGCTTTGTGATGGTGGCGGCGTGGTAATGGTGGTCGAAAGTGGCCATAGTGATAGTGACGGTAGTCTGTGACCAAATGTTTGGTAATCTGGGACCTAAAAATTTAATAATGTGTGACTCAAAAATAATCTGTGACCTCGAAATAATCTGACTTACAAAATTTTTGATCTGTGATCTCGAAATAATATGTGATCAACTAATTTTAAAATATGTAATATGTGACCTATAATTATGTATATGTGACAATTAATTATATAACTGTGATTTTATTATATTTAATTAATAAATATTTTTAATTAATTAACTTAAACTTGATTTTTGCATTAGTCAAACTTAAAATCTAATTTTTGAATTGTGTATAGTTAATCCCTGACTTTTGAACTCTTCCCATTTATAAACCAGTCCACCAAATATGGGCCACTACTCAATCCAATAACTAGACAATTGAGTCCATGAAGCCTGACTACTATGAATGAAGATGCCCCATATCAAAGCCCAGAATTTTGGCCCACAAGTACAGCCTTGCACACAGGTCTCACGAGGACCAAATAAAAAAGAATAATGTTATTTATTTCTCTTCAATTTAGGTGACCTTAATGTAATATGAAATAATAAATCACTTTTCATTTATCTCATCATCTAACGTCACCTAAATTACAATCGGTTTTGCTACTTTTACATATGTACATCGTGGGGGTGGGAGTACACCCAATGTACATCTTGTTATGTACAAGTAGCAATTTTCTTACAATTGCAGTATCAATTAGGCTATATATAGCATTACAAAATAAAAAAGCTAAAAAAAATTCCCCATTGCAAGTGAAAACCAATTAGTGCTATTTTACAGGAATTGGAAATTGGAGTGCATAGCACGAGAGAGGAATCTCAGCCCCAAATCCGATATAAATTCATCTCACAATTCTATTTTTCCCAGCTTTCACTTGAAATGGCTCTCTTCACTCCGAATTTGTCTTTCAAAACTTCCACCTACAATTCCAGTTTATTTACACTACCTGCCACTCCTCGTCGTTTTATCCGGTGCCCTCGCTCCCTAAAGCTCAGAGCTTCATTAGCCGTTGACTCCCCGTCGACCTCCGCCACCGAACGCGGCGGTGCTGCGGAGCTACTACTTGAAGTCAAAGACCTTTCCGCCGTAATTGCCGAGTCCAAACAGCCCATTCTCAAAGGCGTTAACCTAACTATCCGCGAAGGCGAGGTAAAAATTGAGAAATATGTGATCATATACTTTTATTAATTATAATTATTTTATGGGAATATAGCGAGCACGATAGTGAGTTACTAGAAAATTGTTGAAGAATATGGTATGTGTATATATATATATATATTCAATTCCAAATTAAACTGTCCATCTTTATGCATTTTATTAAGACAATTAGCAGAGATATTGTGGAGATATATTTAAGCTGAGCATCGGGTAGAAGTTTGGAGTTGAAATTAGATAAACTAGCCTATAAATTTGAATTGATTTACCCCGATTCCAATGGTGAACAATAAATTCAAGAGAACATACAGTTCTTTCAGTGGCTTCCAGCTTCTAACTTGCAATTGAATTTGACAAGGTTCATGCGGTGATGGGGAAGAATGGTTCTGGCAAGAGTACATTTGTAAAGGTCAGTGCTTTTTTTTTTTAACTGACTTTTTATGATAATGTTATAGTTTTAAGATACATGTGAAATGAGTTGAGTTCTTCACGGATGCTAATTGGGTTTGGAAGGAGAAGACTTAATATAGATTATATGTTTCTAAGCTGGAATTTTTATTGAATGATTGATATTTACATCAGAGAGTTTACAGCATATTTATTAAATAATTACGAAATGTTGTAACCACTATATATACATATATGACAAGGACGTAAGAGAATCTATGACTAACAAACTAAATCAGAGAGTCCACCTCTCCTCATTCTAGAATGTTCAGTATGTTAATGTTCAGTCTTCAACATATTCCATTGTCGTGTTAGCATCCTACTTATCTTCAGCTGTCCCTTGTGCTTATGTGTTGTTGAGTTGCCCAAGCTCACTGGTATTACCTTAGCTTCAGTACTCATGTGCTTGCTACTTATCTCCTTCAATGACACAGTCTTCTGGTCGAGCTTGACCTCGACTTGTTTGCTTGAGCTGAGCCAGGACGGGCTTGGCTCATATGATAATTGAACATAGAGTCAAGCTCAATCTGGAATTTATATAACTAAAATGTGCCTGTCTTGAGCTGCCAGGAGCTTAAGCTCACCAGTTGCTGGCTCACAACTTGGTTAGCTTAAAACTCTAATTTCTAACAGCATTGCAATGATGTAGTAAAATAGTTGTCTTGTCTATGAGGGAACTGTGTGCTTGGTTGAAATATATTTTGTTGAAAAAATTGCCGGTGAAGAGCAAAGCTTCAGTTTCTACTAGTTGGTCCTTTTAGCCTGTAGTTCTAATTCTAAAATGAATATAATGAATGACCTGTAATTTATATACTTTTGGAAGTCCGTTGTCTATGTTTGTATGCTTTTCATTTGTGGTTTATGTTCCATAATTTACTTATGGGTTTGTTTTCCCGGTTTCCAGCATGTTCGTTTAGCGCCTTTTATTCTACAAATTTTGGGTGCTATCTTTTTGCTTTTGTGAATGATTTCTTACTATCTCAGTTGAACAAGTTGTTCTTTTGCCGAACGTACAGGTCCTTGTTGGTCATCCAGATTATGAAATTACCGGAGGCAGCGTTACATATAAAGGTCAGGACTTGCTTGAGATGGAGCCTGAGGAAAGAGCTGTTGCTGGGATATTCATGAGCTTTCAGTCCCCAGTTGAAATTCCGGGAGTTAGCAATATTGACTTTTTGAACATGGCTTACAATGCTCGAAGGAGAAAACTTGGACAGCCAGAACTTGGACCAATCGAGGTAGTTGTTTGCCGCCATGATATATCTCCTTCAAGTTTTATCTGGTCTAGATTCAGTGTTTCTTGTCTGCATATCTTTATTGTAATAAGAAATTATGAACCTTTCTTAGGATGTTAATACTTTAGAAACAATGAATGCACAAACAGTGATAAATCATTTGGAAGAAAGAATTTAAGAAATTTGAATTCCACAAGGAAAGAATGTTTGTGGCAACCAATGACTGGGAACTCTTTTGGAAACACTGCCCGTTCATTTTTATTTTTATTTTTTTGAAAATCAAATAGAGCTGGAACAATTGTATGTTTAGAGGGTTTCTATACTTGTTCCACAGAAGCATTTTTGTTGTGCAAGTAATGAACTCTGCATTAGCTACACCAGATAGCTCCCGATATGAGATGTTTTGACTATAACCTGAATCCTCCAGTTACCACAACTAAGCAGTAGTCCTTTTATTAGCTAGGTAAAAGTTGGTCCCTACTTTCTTTCTTTCTGGGAACTGGACGAGTGGTTAATTCCTGACAGCAAAACATTTACAGTTTGGCCTTTTGCTTCACTTTGTGATATTTGCTTTCTGTGAAGATGCATATAAGGGTGGTTACTTGTATTTGCTTACAACCACGTTCCCCTCCCCATTGGTTACACTTTCCTGAAAGAAATAACTTACGTTATGGAAGTCGGACTGAGAATTCGGCCTTCATCTTGTTAACTTCCGAATTACATTTTCATCGCAGTTTTACGGCTACATAGCACCCAAGCTTGAACTTGTGAACATGAAGGTAGATCTTTTGAACAGAAACGTCAATGAAGGGTTCAGTGGTGGAGAAAAGAAGCGCAATGAGATTTTACAACTTGCGGTATAGGATCCTTTTGTCTTTACATTTTCAGTTATTATTTCACCTAAAGATGAGCATTTTGCTTTTCCATCACGTGCATTTTAGTTTAGGTGTTTGATCACGCGCAAGACACAGGTAAATGGTAATTCGGCCTGACTGATTTTGAAGGTTTTTGGCCTATTAAGAGGAGATAATATGCATGTGCTTCTTTAATGCATTCAGTGATTAGATTAGACTAGAGAAAATCTGTATGCATCATTCCCATTACATTTGGGGAGAAAATAATCTACTACCATTTGCCAGAGATCTAAAAGTGTTGGTAACAATGAAATATAGTTCCCTGAAACAACAATAATCTCCCGACCAACCAGCCTCTCAGCATGACATGCAAACACACACACTATGTCCGCAAAGGGAAAGGAGAAGAAGAAAAGGGACATGGAGGGAGAGCAATAATTCCCTATGCTAGAGCTAGGAAAAGGATGGACAGATTAGTGAGAAAGTGAACACTGTAATTTAAAAGATTCTTAGTGACTAGATTAATGTATTGTTATCCTTGTCCAAACTGTTCTCTGAATCCTATTACTGAGAGCTTCAAAGTTGTGTATATGTCTACCATGATAAGTTTCTAATTGGAGGTATATTGGAGATCTTATATGCTTAATTAATTTTACTGATCTATATTCTAGTCTCTTTGTTTTTATCTGTCTCATTCAAGAGTGTGCAATAACTCCAAGTTTCTTTCAAAAGCGTCACAGGCCTCTTTTCTTCTCCTTATCTGTTGTTCTTTTATGCACATTTTTCTATAGGAATGTGATTTCTATACCACCGTGAAGGTACCATTAGATCTCTATGTTGCTACTCACACTGAAAGCTCTTTTTTATTTGTAGGTTCTTGGTGCAGAGTTGGCTATATTAGATGAAATTGATTCCGGCTTAGATGTTGATGCACTTCGTGATGTAGCAAAAGCAGTGAATGTCCTCCTGACCCCAAAGAATTCAGTTTTGATGATCACACACTATTTACGTCTTTTGGAGTTCATTGCACCTACCTATATTCATATAATGGTAAGCAAATTATGCTGAAAAGGTACTATTAATACGAGTCCCTTTAAGCTGAAGTAAGTGATCCAAAGAATATTGGTTCCCTTTCTTAGTCAAATGACTGTTGTATTAAAAATCTTAATTTCAATTCGCAGCCGTAGCATGTTCAATTATGACGATGATCTTTTAGTTTTATGCATCAGTGATAACATTGATTGCTGGGTGTGGTTTATGTTTCTTATGGATTAATGACATTTTGACTCGTTAAATAATTCATTACGTTTCATTGCAGGAGAAAGGCAGGATAGTGAAGACTGGAGATATTTCAATAGCAAAACTTTTGGAAAAAGAAGGTTACAAGGCAATTTCTGGCACATAACTGTAGACCCATGGCAAGTGGAACTCTTCGCTCTCTTTCTCTCCCCTCCTCTCAAAAATTCATCTACTTAGTTTTTCCCCTTATTAATTTTAAACAGCTTATATTTCTCAGCTCCTCTTAATAATGTTTTCTAGATTAAAAGTAGCAAGTTTCTTCAATGGGCATATAAGGTGGCAACTGAGGTAACACGTCCGAGTTGCTTGTTCAACATTGAAGATTGTCTCTCAAGTCAATGACCTTACTCAAGGATGGACCATTCATCACTGTCATTGATGAGGAAGAACTTGAACATCATTATGTCATTCTCATGCTCCTAAAGTATCTATTGTTGGCATGTGTTTCTGGAGATTGTTACTCTTTATTGTCTTATATGGACATGTATCTTAACATATACTATATTTTTTGGGAAGAATTAACATCTCTTTTGCTTTGCCAATAAATAAGCTTTGTCATTGGCGTGTTGCTTCTATATTTTTGTGCTATAATACTATTATTTAAACGAAACCAGATCTGCATAAGTGAAGTAAAGTCGACTTCGCGTTGGCTGCGATCCCCCTTTCATTTGGAACCATGTGTAGCGTCAATAATTGGGTTTTCATCAAGAAGTTGTTTCTTTTTTATTGAAGAGGAAGGTTACAAATTTCAGTGCTTAAAAACGCTCAAAGCTGGATCAAAGTTCATTTTACTGTTTTCTATTTTGTGATTCTGTTGGTGATTTTACAGAGGCTTCTTGAGCTTATTTCTGAATTGAGTTGGGTGAATTTTTTTTTATTGAAATCTTTATTGGCATGAATTTCGAATGACACAGTTTGGTTTCTGTTCAGAAATGCTTGCAAACTGCTTGATCATGAGTTCAGCGGGGGCCGCATTCATTCAATTCGAATAAAAATTAGGATTTTGCTGTATAAATCAAAATTGTACATAAGGTGCTACAGAATATGATGTGGAGGAAAAAGATTGTATGAAAAAGTTGATCGTATTTTAAACTGGCAAATAGTAGAGTGTCATGTGACATTATTAAACCATTAATATACATGTAGCAAGATTCAAAAAATTATGTTTTAATCAATATTTAGAGTTGACAATTTTCGATATATCGAAAGCATTACAAGTCAAGTTATTCTAAGTCATATTTGACTACTAGTTATAAGTAAAACATAATCATATTCAACTAGTTAAGTAAAACATAATCGCAAAGAAAGGGATATATTAAAATCATAGTGTTGTGCTTAGAATCTAATTACCATTGTGTTTAACTAAAAATAATAATTACAAAGAAAAATTAGGTGGACTGAACTCAAGCCAGGCCTTAAATCCGTCAACACTCCGTTACCATTGATGATGAATAAGTATCAGAATAATTTTCAGTTGCATATCATTCCAATGAAATAATTTTATACATAAATTCAAAACTTATTCTTATTTTTAACCACACATTTTCAAAAAATTCACTATTACAAATTTTATTTTGCACAAAGACAGAGCTCAAACAAGGGCAAGGGCTTAGATATGTCTTAAACATAATCATAATTTCATTAAGTAAAAGCACAATGTTGGAAGAAACTCTTTAGCCCTCAAACATCCTCGAAAACATGATTATTATTATCTCACTTTGCCATGTCAAATTGTCATGTGCAAAGATTTGTCAGATGGTATCAACCCTTTTTACTCCATGTTACAACAAATTTAACAAAACAATATTTTAACATGAATTTATGGTAAGAAAAATGGAAAATAAAGAAAAACTCGTGAGTGATCACTGTGAATCGCTTTTTTCAAGCTTTTCAATTTCTTCACGGTGTTTTCTTTCGGCTTCTTGAAGTTCCCTTTCAGCATCCTCTTCATCCTCCAATTGATCACGATCTTCAAACTCCTTAGTTGCTGCTAATGCCTTGACGACAGGATCCCGCAGTTCAGAAATTAGACCACCGCCAATTCTATACTCTTCTTCGTTCCCGATCAAGAACAATCGCTGATCAGGTCCACTTGCCATGGGAATATCCACTGCCAATAGCTTCACATCATACTGCAGAAACGGAGAGCAACATGTGCTAATGTAAGTAGGAGAAGGACGTCTTTCACTTCCTATGGAAGTCAAACTTCAAAATCTAGCTCTAGTAAGTAATCTGATTCTACATCTCAGAGCCATGCGAACGCATCATTTATGGCTAAGCTTAAAAAATAAGTAAAAGTTAATTATAAGTGAGTTTTTGTTTCAAAAAATGTTCGCCCAAGTTAATAATTATTTTGATTGTAGCTCTTACCAAACTCACAAACTAAGCAAAGTGTTTATAAATGGCTTAAATTATAAATAGATCAAAATAAGTGTTGGATAAGTGGGTACTCCAAAATGTGTGGATAAAAAGTGACTTGAGTGTCTGTAAACAGTTTATAAACATAAGCATAACATACACCAAGTAATTTCCTTATTTTCAATTTTGATCAATAAAAGAATTACTTGTTGTAAAACAAACTTATTTATTTGTAAGTAAAATTTTAAGTGTGGCAAGCATGCTCAAAGACAGAGGCCAGAATGTTTCAAAATTATGAGCTATTGGCAGAAAATTTGATGAAGCCTCTCTACAGCTGCAGGTCGAGACATGGTTACAAAAATCACAAACAAATCTCCTGTTTGACTAAAGGATGAAATTAACAAAATACGCATGATCCAGAATTACAATGCACAATTGTCACTTCGTTTTTGCAAATCATATATGTCAAAAAATCCATACTATATCAAAAATTACATTGCATGTCCCCATCCTTGCAGATATTTCCATCAAGAAAACGGGTGCAACATAGTTTTTGTACACAACATAATCACCAAATCATGAATATGGGCATTTACAAAGGAACGTGATAATTATTCAGAGATAGTTTATCAAAACGACATTGTTACTTAAATATAAGGAAAACAGAAGTAGATAGTATTGAAGCAAACCTCGCCTTTCTTCTTCTTCACTTCAACACTGACTAAGCCCTTCCTTTCCGAACCTTGTATGGGGAAAATAAGAAAACATCTTTTGCCTCTTAACCTTGGCTGGAAGTTCTTGAGGTTTATGCCCCCTCCTGACATCACATATGCTCTCAAATCCGTCCCTGTTAGAGGAGCACCCATAACCTCAAGGATTCCAGCCGACGTATTAAGTCTCCTCATGGCCATTCTATAAACTTTATCAGGATTGATTGTGAATCTTGAACGAAAATACAAGCCCTTTACAATACAAAAACATTTGATAATTATTAGTGATGATTATACAAGGTAATAATAGAATATACATACTTCAGCAATATGCTACAGAAACCCTGAGTTTTGATTGAATGTGCAGTAAAGATGAGGTTGGCAAATTTACAGAAACTGATTGAACTGGACCATTTTTTTTTCTCAATTTTTAAATAAATATAAAATAGCTATTGGTAGACTATCTAATTATAATTCGTTCTCATATATCTAGTATGGATCAATTATTAAGCCCTAAGTTCTGAAGAAACCGAACAGGGATGCAACAGTCAGTCCTGTTCTGTTGCTCTAAGAACTGACCCGCTCTGTGTAAAAGAATCCAAATCAATAATCATAACCAATTTGATCAGTTTCTTGCAAGAATCACACCATACACGCCTCGGAAGGGGGAAGGAACAGAAAATTCCTGTTTTCTTAGAGTTCACTAAACAAGATAAAAAGGTAATTTTTGCCCACCATTTCCTACCTTCCTCTTCATAATCAATTTTTTTCCCATGTCCTTCATCCGAAGTCCAAAATCACTAGAAAATACATCCAAAGAGGAATTTGGATTATGTCCACATCAATTACCAGTCATCTAAACTTCAATATTAACCACCCTACCCCCAAATGAGAAGAACGTGCCCGACAGGTAAGACTGCAAAAATAGAACACCTAAAGCTGCACATCAGAAAATAGTATCTATATGCATATTGTCTTTTATAGCTGCACATCTTAAGATTCAGGAAAATCTAACAAAGCGCCATGCTGAAGTAGAAAACACTGTAGCTAGAACGATAAAGAAAAGGTTATAGCAATTATTTTACAGCTGAAAGAGCAAATAAATCTCATCCGAAAAGTAAAGTTTCCCTCACCCATTATTACTTTTCTTTCGTCCCTGTTACATGGAAGCAGTTCAACATATAGGGTTAAGTGAGGATGCACTTAACAGCCATCAACTTTCTTATCTACTCATATACATTTCTAACCATGTGATATCATATTATGCTGCAGAATCAATGAGAGATAGCAAACTAAATATTGAAGTATAAAGATTCATACACTGCAACTCTATTCGAAATTATTAAGGGAAATTGGAGTCTCCCATTAGACATCATAACAGCCATCAACTTCCTCCTCCTGCAGATTATCACCGCAAATTACCTACCTGTTAACTGTTTTTCTATTTATCAGAGACAAGCTATGCACACTCGAAAACTGAATTCTAAAGAGATATTAATTGCAACCCCATAGCATAACGTGTGATCCAAGACTCTAAATGAAAAAAGTTCAGCTGGAGTCACTTTCTTATATACTCATATACATTTCTAACCATGTGATATCATATTTATACCTACCGTTCAAGCAGCATTCATGGCCTAAACCATACCAGGTCCACCCAAAGTCATATGCCACACAAAAGTTGACTTGATTTAATCATTACTTTTACGTAGGTAGATAGTCATTCAATTATTGACAAACTTGGAGCATCCATTGTCAAACTTTTCAAGTAACATAAAACACTACCGTTAAACTACTAAAACACTAGAGAGAACCATTCTTTCAAAAGAAATTTGTATGCTTGGTCACCACGTGGAAGTAATTAAACAAATCATAAGCTAAGTTAATAATCCATTTAAAGACACCATGCAGTTGAGCAAAATTACTCATTAAATAGGCCGATGTGACCCTAACAGCTTAAGATATCATTCATCAACGGAAATCCAATTCGGTGTATAATAAAATGGTGCAATGATCGAAAAAATTTGCAAAGAAAAACTCACAGCAAATGCAACCATAGCGGCTGAAAGAGCAAGGAACCCATACTTCGCCATGCCTTCAGACAAGCTAATAAAAGTGCTGGCGATCCCAAACAAAACCCTCCACAGCAAAATGCATACCACAACCCCACCGGCACCCAGAATCGCCAGATAATTCCTCTTCCAGAAGGCATCAATGTGCAACCCGGCAGCCTCCCTATACCGCAAAAATGCGTTCTTAACCGCCCCCACAGGGTTTTGAACCACATATTTTGCAAAATTCTTGGAACCCACCTCATAACCCTTAAAAGAAATGTACCTGAATCCAAGAAAATTTCTGTTCTGCAATAATTTGGCATTTGGGTCTAATTTTTCGAAAATTCTTGGAACATTGGGCGACGATGGCAAATAGGTTTTTCGAGAATTTGATATCCATGTCGAAAAAGGGCTACTTTGATTAGTTTTTGGGTTAACTTTTAAGAAATTGGAAATGCCACTGCAAATGGGAGTTGCATCTGCGGAGACTTTGGATGAAACTTGATGAAAACATCTAAAAATAATTTTTGACGATGAGGGTTTTGACATTTTTTTCGTGATATTTTCTTGGGGTTTTAGTACAAATGGATTTAGATTCACGGGAGCACAAAAATCAGAGGATGACCGATTGACTCGCTGAATTTATCCAACTTTTCTTCTTCCCTCAACCTCTTTTCCCAATTGAGAAAACCTAGATTTTGAAGTTCAAACCATTATTCTCTGAAGGATTTATTTGTGTAAATATTTTATTGAAACACATTTTCTTCAGCTTCCTCGTACATTTTATTGTCCAACTAAAGTTTTTTTAAGTGTGTGTGATAATTTGAGTAATGTAAATATATGAGATCAGTGATTTTTAATAACTGTTTCAACGATCACTGAACTTTATAAAGTGTCAAGTTTCACTAGCTGAACTTTAAGTTACATTCCATCACTGACTGAACTTAGTAAAGTTGCACTCCATCCATCACAGAGCTAATTCCGTCAAAACAGGTTGCCTATGTGNTGGGCGAGACGTGATTGGGTGTTGGGAATTTATGACATGGCTGATTAATGTCCAGCTGGAGTAACTTAACGGTAACGTGTGCAAACCGTCATCTACGTAGGCAATCGATTTTGACGGAATTAGCCCGGTGATGGATGGAGTGCAACTTTACTAAATTCAGTGAGTGATGTGATGCAACTTAAAGTTCAGTTAGTGAAACGTGACACTTTGTAAAGTTCAGTGACCGTTGAAACAATTAAGTAAACCAGCTGGATTAATTTAACGGCCACGTGTGCAAACCGTCATTCAAGTAGGGAACTGGTTTTGACGGAATTAGTTCGGTGATGGATGGGGTGCAACTTTACTAAGTTTGTTGAGTAATGGGATGCAACTTAAAGTTCAGTTAGTGAAACGTGACACTTTGTAAAATTCAGTGACCGTTGAAACAATTAACTTATGATTTTTATGTATATTTGCGATTATTATCCCTACTTAATTGTATAAATAAAAATGTTTTTTTTCCGTGGCTTATGCAGATAAACACATAATTCTTTAACCATGTTAAAATGTTCGCTTATAATTAAACGTGTATTTGTGGATACTTCCAAAGTGTTAAATAAATATTCTCTAATTATTTAAGTTGAAAATAAGTTTGAAGTAATGTAAAATTTAATATTTTTTTAACTTAAAAGTAAAAAAGAGTAACATTTAAATATATTTAAAAATAAGAAGTTACTTCGCCCCCATTTGGACTCGATTTGAGGGAAATATATTTTGAAATAATCTTCTTTTCTATCTTATCTACCATGAATTCCATTTTGACAAAATTTTCAATCACTTTTTCAACGAAAACAAAGAATAAAATAATTAATTCCTATGGAATACACGCCATCTCTCATTTCTACTTTCAAATATCCAAATTTCAAAGGATAGTTGGAGAAAAACATGCAAAAATGTCTTTGTCGTTCCCCATATATGCAAAACTAATTAGATACAAAGAAGCAAAAATAAGCATCTGTCTGAAAATGTTTAATAGTAAAATTTTTACCGTTGGCCACCATTTCCAACAATTTTCAGCCACTTTTCTTGACCATAATCTCTCATATGTGGGCCCCAGTTGACCAAAACGGTCAAAAAAATTGATTTTAAAAATCTCCTACAGAAATAAATAACAACAAAAGAGCCGAAAAAATTCAATAGCAAGAAGTCACCAAATAGGTAGAGATTTTCCAATTCCCTTTCTTGCTTTCTCTATTCATCAAAAGCCCACTAAAGAGCTCCAAGAAAATTCCTACATTTGTATCAAAATAGTGCAAAAATTAATTAAAGCGTGAAGTGGTGTAAACCTTGATATACATATAGGAAAATTCAAAATAAAAAGAGTAGTGTTTTCTACCAGCCAATGATGAAATGTCACTTAGACATTATGTTCGTGTGATCTCTTTTTTTTTTTTTTTTTTTCAAAAACTCATTTTTAATCACATATTTCAATAAAATAATTTTATAAGCAGATCAAAAACTCTTCTTTCCTTTTTAATCACACATTCTCCTAAAATTACTATTCTAAAATGCAATTTTTCCCAAAAATAGGGCTCAAACAAGGCCATATGTAGCAAAACCAAAAATAAAAAGAGTAGTGAAAAAAATAAAACAATTAATTAAAACAAGGTGTGAGTGATTCCCGAGATAGCATTGTACTCGTAACCAAACACACACGGCTATTCCTCCCACGTCAATTCAAGAGCTTTTTGCCACGTTTCATTTCGGGAAATACATGCAAATAGCCTAAATAAAAAATCATATTTCCAAAATAGCCTTTGACTATTTTAAACATTTGGAACTACCTAAAATACCCTAAACATAGAATTTACAAACTAAGTTATCATTATATGAACAGATTTTCCTTTAAGCCATTTAAAGATTTAAAAATTTAATTTTATTATAATTTTTGCCCGCTAATGAATAAACATACAATGAAAAAACCTAGAGGCCCAAGAGGACCTTTTAAAACTAAGAAGTTTATAAAAGAAAAAATGAAAGATAAGATAGAAAAAGTATTCAATGAAAATATAACCAAAAGAAAATACACAAATCAATTATATGCATCTCATGAAGCTTTAAAATGTTTTAAGAATAATATATCGGAAATTTTTATAAAAAGACCAGTCCGAACATTAATAATGGAGATATTCAAGATCTTATAGATAAAATCGAAAAAAGAAAAATTAGAATGATAACAAATCATAAGACATTTATACAGTTAGATGATGACATAAATATATATTTGGATATTATAAATTACCAAACTTTTATAGATTTTGAAGAAATTATAAAAGAATATAAACTTTAATTTGATTTCTGAAAACATATTATTTCATTAAGTATTATCTAACTATAAATGAGGAAACCAGAATTCTATAAGATGTGTAATGAAAATAAAAAATTAAGATATAGATTGACTATTAGTTTTATATCATTCTCATAAATCATAAAATAACAAAGAAACATATAATAAAATATTTAGAAACCTTAAGAATGATTAAAGATTTTAAAAATTGTTTAATAACTTTTGATTATATCTTTATTTTGATTATTTATTAGATTTTTGTTCGCTGAAAGTAGCACCTCCAACTTTTGGTATCAGAGCCATACAGATAATATTACAAAAATAGATAATTATTATAAATTAAATGAAGAAAGATGATGTTATATATTTATAGAACTTATTCCTAATAGATTAAAAATAACAACATTAATAATAGTTAAAGACATACCTATAGAAATAAGAGAACAAATTCTAGGAAAATTAATCGTAGAAACAATAAAAGATGAATGTATGTGTGTGTGTGTATATATATACATATATATATATATATATGAAAAAATTATTAAAGAATTTGAAGATGAATAAATTAGATTATATTATAGTGAAAAAACATATCTACCACCATATTATGAAGGAAGATATGGAAGAAATCGAAAGAAAACTTGAAAAGGATCTTAATACTATGATAAATTACACCAACAGATAGATAATATATTATTAATACCAGGAGAGAAAAAATTAACAAATAGTCAAGAAAAACAAATATTAAAATTAAGATAAGAAAAATCTAAAATAAAAGTAAGATATTTTGAAAATCTAACGATACTTCCAAATACAAAGTATGCTAAGCCCCTGTTTGGTACACATTAAAATTTTCATTCTCATTATTCTACTCATTTTCAACCACACATTTTTCAATAAAATAATAATTTCTATCACATCAATAAATTTTCCTTCATTTTCAACCACACATTCTCCATCAATCTATTATTCCAAAATACATTCTTCCAAAATAATGTGGATCAAACACACTTTAAATTCAGATTTAATAAAATAATTAAAGAATCAAAAGATAATGAATGTAAATTATTTTATTTTACCCAATCAAAAATAAAACTTGCAAAATAAGAATTCCAAAATATTAATAGACATTCTTAATAAAGAAATGAATGAACTTAAATAACTAATAAAAATATTAATAACGGATGTCCAAGATTTGAGAAGTGAAATAAAAGAAGTAAGAAATGATATAAATATATTAAAAATTGAAATTAGAGAATTAAAAGAAAACAATAAAAATAAAGATAAGAAAATAGATTAAAAAATTTATAGAGAAAGAAATGTCGAGAATTGAGAAAAAAAACATATAGAACAAGAAAATTTAATAATAGAAGTAGGAAGTATGGATGATGAATTTAGAAAAAATATTTTACCTAAAATATTAAAAGAAGAAGAAAATTTTGAAAAATCACTAGGAAAATTGAAAAATAAAGAAGAAAAAAATTGAAGATAATAAAGAGGAATTAGATTTATTAATAGAAAATTTTGACCAACTTAACTTAGAAAATGTAAGTGAATACCAAGTCTTAATGAATATTGGAGGATGACCTACTTCAGCGGGAACATCTAACCAACCTGAAAAATTAGATCCAGATGAAAATTATGCACACATATATAAATAATAATAAACCATATAGACAATTCTATGACAAAGTAAGAGATATACAACCACCTAAAGGAAACAAATATAGAAATGGATTTGAATTAAATGACATTTATGATAAGTCTATTAACAATGGAGGAACAAAATTAGATCTAAATTGTAAGATAGATACTAAAAAACTTTATTAACTTGGGCAGATTCAATGATATTATTCTCTCTATATAACAAAGATGATACATGGGAAAATACAGAAAGAAAACAGAATTCTTAATAACATCATTTGAAGGAAATATTAGAAACTGGTGGGAATGAGTAAATAATGACACAAAATCATTAATAAAAAGAAATATACAAACATAAATAATAAAATCAGATAAACAATGTATAGAAAAATTAGTAGAATTTATTGTTATGAATTTTTAGGAGAAAATTGGATTAGAAATGTTGAAGAAAAAGCAAAAAGAGAAAAAAGACGATGCTAGAATAAAATTGATAAATTTAACAATATGTGATATGTGTAAAATTAAAGAATACACTTGTGAAGAGTACTTGGGATCAAGACCATATACAATATT